CTGAAACGATTCATCGTTCTCCGCATTAACAGTATCATGTCAATCGACATAATTTGTTTACTGTACCATAGCAGACTTTTTCACTTGTAAGTTAAACAGTGCTAACGTTCTACCCTCCCACTCTCAGCCTATGTACACATTTACCCGGCGTGATCGTAGTCCGTTGTCTACGTGCAACGTGGAACATAAACGTGGACATCCTGGACTACAGTACTGATTGCAGTAAAACAAGATTGGAAGCGTTTACACTCGCCAAAATGACCCTTGATTCACATTGATAAAGTAATACTGTAAGTCAATTTACAGTACTGTCACACACCACTAGTGACAAAGTAGTCTATACACGCCAATCCTTGCGGAGAACGCCACTTACTAACTTAAAGAGGCGAGATTAGCTATATCACCAAATAATTCAGTTCCAACGATCGAATACTATGGTATAATTATAGCGTCACAGATGATGTAGACGAGATAGTCAGAGATTTACTATCATTTATTACTGAAGGAATCTTGGCACCCAAGATTATAGTCTTTACAATTAAATATCAATTGAAAAACTTGTTGACTATCTAACCGACTAACGAACTAAAAAGGAATTAACAAGTACACTCAGTACAGTAGGTCTAGATACAGTATGATAGTACGATAATCGCGATTATTACGAAACTGTACTACTAATCAAGTTATTCGTCTTTATTCGCCGTGATTTGGTACTACGTTAAGATCAAACTCTTCCATATTGGTTTACTACCAGTGCCAGTGCTGCATGTTCGCTATGATATCCTATAATACAGTAGTACAGTACAGTACTGCAGTGTATTATTGATCACTGTCTCACGTGGTAGCCTCAACTACAGTATTTCCCCATACTGACCGTCACAGTACGCATGAGCGTGTTATCCTCCCCAATCATTAATAACGATAAAAGAAGAAGACCACAACATACCGACTGATCAACATGAGGTTCAGTAATTAGATATGAAAGAATCGCGTAAAAACTCGTAAAATGAAATCGAAATTACGGCAACAGTAATGATCTACAATATAATTGTAAATGTAGTGACAAAGGAGCGTACCGTACAATGCATAAGTAGACGTTTTAGGTGGAATCCGGTAGAAGGAATGCAATGCAGTACTTGCATGTCTAAAACTAGAAGTGAGCAACCAATGCTATGTGTTCTGGCTTCCTGAGCAAATTACGATTGCATTCGACCGCTTTACTGCATACTGTAGAGATTAGTGGCAGTGGAATGCATACAGTAGTACAATAAATAGTGTCAAGGAAATCATACCAAGAGTTTACCTACACTTATTACGAAATAGAAATTTGGTAATTGGTTGAACATACTTAAATGGCCAGCAATTACATTTACACTTTATAAAGCTTAAAACTTATATGCTTGACTGATGATTACAATCTAGGCACGTACTGTGTTTCTACTTGTTTGAGACATTAAGACAGTCATCTATGAGATAACTACCACAAATAAGTTCTTATTCTCAGACAACACTAAAGCCTTTTGGTCACTGACGCCAGCATTGATACCTAAAATAGAAGCTCAGCTCATTTATCCAACACGAATAAAGTCGACTCGACTCGTACGAGTATATTACATCTGATCTATAAACTCTTCTACCTATATTACGACGAAATCTCAGGAGAGAAATGGCTACAACTATACTGTATAGTCATGCAAGCGGGCTAAATGTAGTTCCCTTTTCATCAGCTACATGAATATTCCACTTCCATTAACTGCACAGACATCGGATAGGAGGACAGTATCAATTTAATTTAAATATTACATCGTACTGTAATATCCAGTTGGCTGTAAATACTTACTGCATAGTACGTCTATTTTGCAGACTGACTATCTTTCTAATGCAAAATTATCATAATAGACTATTTAAAATGATTCGAAATACTGGCTAACCACTGAAACTATGCACAGTATATTGGGTACCGTGCTTGCGAATAGTTTAAATCGAGTCTTCTGCAAGTTGAAGGTTGTTGCTAAAAATTAGCGATTTATCATCTCTTAATAATCGCGATAGAAGCTATTCTCGCCATGCCTCCATGAGTATTCAATTACTAATGGCTTCATTATAAATCTGAGACCTACGACATCACAAAAGTAAATTTCAAATTTTATTTTTACTATTTCTTGGATTACAAGGTACTAATATTGGCATACCGAACCACACGTGCATAGTATATTATCGATGCAGCTAAATTAATTGGATAGTCTGCTCTATAGGTATAATAAATTTGCGCTAGCAATTAATTAATTCTATAGATACGTAAGTACAACAAGAATATTTAATCTAACATTGTAACCATGTAGCAATCGTAATATGATTGCAGTTTGCGATAGTTGTTTACCGCATTAAAGCAATATTAAGTCATTAACATGGGCAATTAATACAATATTTGAGTCAAGATAAAGCGCATGAAATTTTGTGTTGCATGATACAACTTGGCTTAGGAACGTATTCCACAAAGATAATATACCATATTTAATGTTAACTAATCCTAATTTTTCTGTTATCAAGCACATCAAAGACAAGCTTGGTATATGCCAAGGGATGACAGACTGTATATTAATTGATTTATTACTGTACCTGTCAAAGTATCACTACAGAGTATTGCGAAGCACAATCATGAAAACTCCAACATACGCGTATGCAGAGAAATCTCACGGAAAGTTAGTAAAGGGCTGCATTATTATACTCTCATTGAAGTGTAAACAACGCTATTAATGCCATTTTTTAGTACTATATGTGAACTGCGTATAGGACTGATAACTGATAATACAATATTAAACGGTTGCATCCGCAGATTTTCCTTCCCCATTCATTTCACGTAGCCTTATTTCTTCTTCGGTTTCGGGTACATAAAGCAACTTCACTAATCGCTGTAAAATAAGAAAATGGATAATGTAAATTAATTCTAATTACACTTAAGCTTCCGTTACCTAAAAGTTATGGCATTTATCACTTTACAAATATGATGCTGTAAATAAATTGAGTTCTGAATCATGTAGTAAAAATGGAAATAACTACATGTGATTGCTGATCATGTATACTGTTTCGGAGTTAATTATTAACAAACTATACATAATATGGCATTTGCTAAATTCATGCAGTTGAGAGCGCTTTACTTGCCTCTTTAAATGTTCCCTCAGTATAAATAAGCTGATAAATAGCTGGAAGCAGGATGCATAATAGACATAAGACTGCCATAAGCCAGCCAACAAAATCAGCCCACCAAGGATACAGAATGCCATTGTATGTTATTGGAGTATAAAAAACGAGACTGAAGATGAAGACCGCCTAAGTATGCAAATAAAACATCATTAGAATGATTCACGTAAACGATCAAATACTTTACTCTTCATAGAACCCTTTATCTATATAATATGTATATACACATTGTACGCGTATATACTGTACATATACGTGTACATTTATTCCAGTATAAATAAAATTTACCGCTATCATAAGTGGCGTTAAAAAAGCCCAGCAAATGTCCCAAGATATCCAAACTCTCCACGATAACAGCGATCCTATATTGCGTGTATATCGTCTAACACCTTTGCAAATAAATATTATGGCCTCAGGGTTTAATTAAAGCTAGATAGTTTATTTTATAATCTACCTTTACGAAAGGAAGAAAAGTATTTTATGTAATAGTAAGTTAAAACAATCTCATTTTTACCGTAAAACCATGAAACAGCCATAATCTCGAATAAGACTGTTACAATCATGGCTGTGCCCGCAGAATAGGTATTAAATAAATCAAAGATATAGATACCACCCTATTTATGTATTAAAATACGAATTAATCTCAAATTTTGCTTCATACTCTTTCATATTGAATTCTATAGGATATTAATAGCAACTTGGCATACTTTTGTTATACATGTTAGTCCAATCAGGAATTCGACAATGCATAATCCTAAAATAAGATATGGTCTACGAGAAGCGAATAGATTAGGCCAGAAATCCGTCAATCCTGTAGAAATGGCCTCAACCATAGCAAACTATATTAAAAATTAATGATATTACTCTCATATGAGACCTAGAATCCAGACTAATACTTTTAACTTTATTAAGAAGAACGCTTTTAATGTTATGAATTATGGAGTGTAAAAATTCATATCAAAAGAACTCTTAATCTTATACGTATAGGAGTACATCGCAAGTTTAATCGCTTTACCTGACTGTCTAAGCCAAGTGTAATCAACATGAAGAAGAAAAGGATCGACCAAAAATTTGATCCCGGTAAAGTAGATAATCCAGCAGGGTAAACCATAAATACCAAGCCGGGACCTGCAAAAATTTAGTTAGGAATTGTATTTAAGTAGCTATTCATTTTTCAGAATAACAATATGTCCTAAAATATTTGACGAATAAATAAAACAGGTATATTATCGTTATCGCTTGCCAAATAAAACTTAATGCTCCTTCACATTGCATTTAAGAAAAGATATAATCGTTAGCATTATCTAGCGCATTCTATTATTAATTTTAGAGATTTGAAATAATGCTTTTTTTCGAACCTTCATCGACAACTTTTTCGATTGGTAAACCCTGTTGCTTGGACATATAGCCCAACATTGAAAAAATAACAAATCCAGCAAAGAAACTAGTGCCACAATTTATAGCGCTAATAACGACTGCATCCCTAAATTGAGAATTAAAATTTAAAATTAATTTTCTGATGCAATAACTTTTAATTAAGTAAATGATTACAATATTGGCTATAGACTCTCCCTAGCTCGTACGCACTTTAGTCAATTATACTAATAGCACGGACATTACCCTATCAACTGCAATAATTTTTTGTTAGTTTGCTATGAACAGTACTATCAAACCTTTATGAACTTTAGCTGTATAAACTAAATAAATGATAATGCCGTACTATTACGGTATGCTTATTTTCTCATTTCGCTTACTTAAGGAAATTGTTATTTCTTTTATTATAGCTAGCAAATGCGATAAGGGAACCGAAACCCGCACCAAGAGAATAGAAGATTTGAGTTCCCGCCTCTTTCCACGTCTGTCAAAATTTATGATCGCAATTCTTAACGGCTATCACCATTAACTTCATGCTATAGTAAGAAATTTGCGCTATTTCCTTTGTAAGTTGAAAGCTGCATAAACATGGATATAAACGTACCTCGATATCAGCAAGCTTCGATGTATCTAATTTTAGATAATAGGAAATACCTAAACCTGCACCATCTAATGTTACTCCACGGAAGAATAGAATTACTAATACAAGGTAAGGGAAGGTAGCAGTGAAATAGACGACCTAATAGCCAAAAATAATATTCGTGTTACTCTTTCAATTGAATAGCGCTATTCATGTATCTAAAAAATCAAATTTTAGAATTACTTTTCCTGTCCATTTTACTCCTTTAAAGATGCACAAGTAGACTATCACCCAAGCCAGTATAAGAAGCAAGGCTAAATCCCATTTCACTGGTCCACTAATATCTGGATTAGCTGTCTTGTTTAAAACACGAATACTACATTGGATAAGTTTTAAAATTGGCAATAAATTCATTAGAGCAAAAATAAATAGCGGCCAAATTAAAAGGCTAGAATTTAGCTTTTATGTCATTTATTTACTTGAAGTATTCGACCGCTGGTGAAATTCCAGACTCATTAACATTAGAACCATTTCGAACTAAACACTCAGGCGTATTCCATGAATTATCACATGTTGTCCAAGGTAAAGGAGAGATAAAACTTGCAAACAAGAAATATAGCACCCAGGCTAAGATGACAACGTAATAGATAGATACTAAAAAGGAAACCATGATCATAGAGAAGCCAGTTCCTATAAGCAATAACAGTAGAATAGCAACTGAGCCCTTATTATCATAATTGCTACACTGCATTAAGTAAATTTTGAATTCATCATTAATAGATTTTTGCGGTAGCAATATTCATCGTTAGAGAGTTTATTATACCGAATAACAAAGGACAAATTTTCTTAAAGACAACCGTAGGGCCTTTTACAAAGTACTGTCCGATTCCAAATTCTAATGCCATAAGAGGAACTCCACAGATAGCTAAGGATATGAAATATGGAATCAAGAATGCTCCTAAAGAAAGAAAAAGAATTGAATATTTATATTACTAGTATTCAAATCATTTCAAATAAGAATTCTTAAATGTATTGTCATGAGTACCAACACTTTATCCGTTGCAATAGTAGAATATCCTAACGCTAACTGCTTAAAATTAATCCTGTCAGCTGGGATCATGATTCGTGCTAATCTGTGTTTACTGGATACGGCTTATTATCTCCACAAAACAAGTACTCCATCACGCCTACAACTATTTCCATTTGCAAAGCCAACATAAAAAGGATAGCTTATTTCAAGTCATTTTTATTATTATTGGCCTGATTTTGTATTCCAGATTGGTTGTATAATTCTTTAATGTTGCTGAAAACTCATTAATGGTGAGAATTAGTGACCAATGATTTTATCTTATACGGATATCGACGTTTAATCGTGATGCCAATTTCCGAGAAGAGAGTCGAAAATTAATTTCGAATTTAAACACATACGTCACGAGATGAATCACGTGCATCTTTGCAGTTTAAACAATTCTCTGCGTTCAAATATATGAACCGCTTAACTTAAACTGGTATTGCTACTCTAGCTATTGAAACTATACTGTAGGTAAAGAAGGAGAAGAGACGAGTCTAATAGTATTACAAAGTAGATAGCTAAAATATTAGTTTACTGACCAATACGGCGCTTAATATATACAACCAATAAAGCAACAATCATTGATTTAAAATATGCAAAGTAAAAAAGGACAATAGGAATATATTTTTAATTCATCAAAATTATTTTCTATGGTATCTGGCATCGGTGGCAACTATGATCAAGCGTTTAAAGTAAAACATTAATACTGTAGATTCAAGTTACTTCTCGCTTTTCACGGTACCGAATTAAATTATAAACTTGTTTAGCTATCCCAATGCGAAACAATTTTTACACATTTTCTATTGCAGGTAGAGATCATATTGCTCATGCTCGTATTTTAAGGATTACGAATTAATTCATCAAATGGAATACAAATTGAGTCAGTTAGGACAGCTAAATATACACCTAGAGCATGCAACGCAATTTATTGTTATCAGCACAAACCCCGGTTACAAGACGAGCTTACGGATGATATATGTACTGAACTACTTATGGTAAGGTCATAACTGCGTTTTAATATAAATGTTGTACTAGTACCCCAGGTATATAAATCGATATATTAGCACTGGTAATTACTTTGCTTAAATGGCTTTTTTATTTTTCTTTGCAAATATTTCTAAAAAATTTCCCCTTTATACATATTTCTAAAAGACTCATAAATATATATATATAACTTACGTGACGCTGTCATTGCCTTTATTATATATACTATCAAGTTCATAATAATACATGCTAGGAACCCTTCAGCGCTAAATTAGCCTGACTAAATGGTCTATTTGTTGTTATTGGTCAGGGTTTGCATGTTCGCTTACAATATATGTTAGGGATAGCGATATTAAGTAGTTAAAATACACAGGCATATTTAATTGTTCTATAAAGGTGTCGTGCATAGTTGCTGTAAGACTCACAGATTTATGAGTATTGGCTAATATTACAGTTGGATTCCTACAATATCATACAGCCCTCAGAAAGAATCAGTCTCATATATGTATTACACTGGATTGTTAATATCGTCTGATGTTATGGGAAATTATTTACATGTAAACATAAATTGAGCTATTACTGAATTCTTCTTGAGGTAACAATAGTTTGATATATATCGAGTCTAGCATAGAATAAGCAAATCAGTCTTAGTGCTTCGCAAACTTTCCCGAGCTCAATTCGTATACGTTATTTTTTAGCATTGAAGTTAATGTATTCAAGACAGTTACAATACAAATTTTTCGTTGGAATCTTTCTGTGTATCAGTGGATGAAAATATGGATAAATCAGATTTTTTTAACTCTATGATGCTATGAAGCCCAAGCAAATGAATTCGTTCGTATTTTTACCATTTTTAAATTTATACCAATTACTGTAATTTTTGCACGGTGTCATATCACGTAAAAAACCGTGAAGGATACAAAATAATATCTCATGACAGAATATGCTGTTCAAAATTAAATACTATGCAAACAGTTTAACTTTTGTAGAGAAAAACTGAGATTTGAATCGCACTTCAAGCATTATTTGCCATCTAAAAGTTACTTTATCAATTTAATAATGTATGGTGCTCCGATTTAGTAGCGAAATGTAATTAATTTGTGCGTAACAAATTGCCTACTCCAACATCAATACACGAAAATTAAATTTTATAGTAATTCTCTGACATGCTTCAGTAGTGTAGCGTTTATACGGGATTTATGATAGTATTCTTCGAAATTAATCGTTTACTCAATATCCTACAGATTGCTATTCCGAATATACAGAAATTCTTCCTGAAAGTTATGTTCTGCAGAGTATTAAAATGATGGATCGAATTTTAGCTAAAAGGACCAATATTAGATGCGTAGAATATATTGAAAAAAGATGCATAGTGAGACTCTGACAGTCGTATCGAATACCAAATTTTTAGGTCATGCTGTTTACAAAAGTGTGCAATACCAGTTTAAAATTATTTAGCGTGGCTGTATAAACTATTTAGCACCTATAAAGCAAGATCAATCGAAAGGATAGCATATGATATACTGTAACCTCATGTAGAGCAATGCAATATGCTATTATACAGTGTATAAAAACCAAAAAGGAACAATTCTATACTATTACGTATAAATGATAGTTTGACAATAGCCAAAGTACTAATATGCATATCGTATTGAATGGCTTCGAATACTGATCTACGCGTAGATGGTTTAACTATAAAATAAATTTAAAATGTCTTTCACTAGACCCGCTCAGGGAAGGCAATAAAAATAAGTTGATTTATTCCATCCCTTATGATTATTTCGAATCCTTGTAATAGATACATGCTTCTTTCTTACCTCCTCCATATTTGTAACATAGGTATGGAAATCGCCATAGATTGCCGAATCCCACAGCAAAACCAATGCAACTTAGCATAAATTCGATTTTCTTCCCCCATCCTTCACGCTCATATTCTTCTTCACTTTCGGTATCGGCTACAACCTTACCGTCACTAGTGTCTTTATCATCACCATCACCCATTTTGATAAGTCTTTCAACAGACAAGATAGAAATAAAATGTTTCTATTGATAACGCGATCGATTTATAATGAAGGTCAGAAGACTATCGGAAGGTGGACTATCCCAATGATTACGCAGCATGATGTTTGCTTAGCTGTAGTAATTACATTTTATTGTTTTCCTTTTCAACCATATGCGATAAAAATTGTTTGATATTCATTACTTTGATACGATGTATTTTTTGTAATATTATTAACTAAAATCTTTTATAAAACACGTGGTAGTAACCTATTAATAAGTACTACAATGGCTAAAATAGCATAATTTAAACAGTAATCAGTATTCGTAATAGTCAACCAAGTCAAGATAAAATTAAAACCGCGAAGAGAGATTGGTTGTCTTAAATACAATAGCGTAAAACTGGACAGTCTTTCCTGTGAAATACATAACTTACATACAAAAATTTTGATGCCTTCGTACTCTAAATAATAAAGTGTGTTGCATGTCAAATACATTTTATTTCTTGAAAAGTAAAAGTAAGTATTTTTTTAATATTTTAAAGCCATAGAAATTTGTCAAGGTAGCCATTACTAGAACTTTATAACTACATGAGTTAGTAGAGTGAAGATCGCTTGATTCATATTGTGTATTTAATTAAAAGTAGAGACCCTGCTACGCTAGTTAAATGTTTACTTATAAAAATGGGTTATTTTACCGTGCAGCTATAAGATACTCTAATAACATATTGTAGTATTTAGTGCATCGACTAATTTGAAACCGAATCATTACGAAAGCCCATTGCTTAATGCGAATTTCAATGCTATAATGAGAGATAAATTGATAGTTCTGATCGTTAATTACGTTACTTTTTATGGAAGATAAGGATGTTCCATAATTTATGATAAAATGCATTTCTTACAAATGATGAATTTTAAATTTACGTCACTACAACCATATGCATTATTAAATCGAGAAATTAGCTAAATCTGTCCTTATGCGACCATATTTAGGTTTCTAGCAAACTTGAATATTGATATAAAGGTGATAATGGCAGGCTAGCAAATTTACAATATTAAAACTGTACAATATTTTCGATGGTGCCATGGAAGATCAGCATGCAAATTTATTTTAAGAGTCTTGAAGAAGTAGGCGATACATTCCATAAGTTAAGATAGCTCTGGTCGGCTAACTCTAATCTTTCAGAATTAGATCAAAATCTCTATTTCTTTATAATGCTTTTAAAATTATCGAGTTCACAATAAAATTGCTTTGAAGAATGCGATAATAGCATATAGTTCAGTCTTCTAGACGTACATTATTATGCTCCGTATAAGTTGCATGGTACGGTACCCTATTCAACAATTAGCCCTCTATATGTCAATATAAGCAGTAATTGAAAAGGGTACTTAAGTTCAAGCCATAAAATTGTTATGTGATACGATTGTATAGATACTGGTACTATATAAATATAGTTAGGAATTTCTCAGCGTCTTTCACACTTTGAATAAGAAATTTTGTTTAGAATTCGCTTTACTTACGATGGATGAGCATGTTACTATCTTTATATGTTGTGTTGTAAACATATGTTTAGAATATTGCAATGTCATACTTAAAGTTTGAATTTGTAAACTATAATTCTAAATGTTATCAGTACAATAATATTTGTAAACATCGTTTACAATCTATTGAAATTATTTAGTATCTTTCAGCCATATACTATATATGAATATGACTTTAATTGAAACACTACATAATGTTTATTACTTAAGAGGTAGGAGCAGTAATTTTGGGAATTTATCCATTTAAATTTGATATGAAATTGCCTTCATTCTTATAATCCAAATAATGGTAAAAAATTCCTTATTTCTGATCCGATTCTTTCGATAATTCTGAGGAACGTCCATGCATTCGTGTAACATGTACAATATTACAACTTGCAATAAGAGTATTTACGTAGACTCCGTATTTTATAAATCTTAAATAAGAATATTATAAACAAATTCATAGATTTTCTACATAAATAGGAAAGTTTAGATCATGCTGTTGTACGCATTTGCATGCAAATTTACGAATATGGATAAAATTCATTAGATATAAAATGATCCAGGATTACTCATCTCTGATAAGACGGTGAAAATAGAATTGACACTACTCATTCAGCTACTTATTATCGATGAAATTGAGCCGTCTCGTATCTTTCTATATACAAGATTTGCTGGATCGTATCCCTACTGTCCTACTCTCCTGTGAATATTACATATATAACCGATGATAAAAATACCTGTTTTTAGAGTATTTAACGTTGTACATTAACTATGTTCATATCCAGAATCTGCAAATTTTAGGTTCATCTATTTAACCCCTTAGCTTGTTAAAGCAAAGATCACTTTCATTAATACTCATATCCGGTTTTTTCTATACTATATCAAAGTGGTACAATTTTTGAAAGTTAAATATGCGTATATTTATGAATTAATTATTTATAAACAAAGAGTCTGTACATCCGAATTTGATTGCACTATAGTAGCTATTGTTTCGTGTTCTGATAACGCACTATAAATATTATTACTTGAAGTAGTAAGCTAGTGCAATTAGCGATAGAAAATCATCGATTTCTGCGATAAATAAGTATAATTAATGAGGTAATAGCATACTACATCAGGAATATAAAATGAGAGACCGATGATCGAAACAGGGAAAATAATGCCGAATTTGCAGTTGGACATTAATATGCTCGTAACTGATATTGTGGAAAGAATAGAGTGCCCGTAATAATTTTTTGATACCTAGTTGAAATACCATCATACCTGCATACAAACTATAACCTCTCTAAATGATCTAAATCGTTCGATATTACAAATTTATTTGATTCGATAACTCGATAGCTTTTAATGATAAAAAATGCTGTCTAATAGCAGTTATTGATTGATATACCTCTAAAACATTGCTAGTGTTCTTTTACATTATGAGCAAATATTTGAAATGCTATCGCTATAACGCACCCTTGTAGCGTTGACTATATCACTGTTCAGATCCTATTTTTAATTAATGTAATGTAATCCTTGCCGATTACTATTTTGCATGATATAATGTCCTCAAACTGATAAAACCGATACAAGTATAATTTTCGAGGTCATAATAATACTGTATAAACTAAACTGTATAAGCTAATGTTTAGTACTTATTTATTTTATCTAGACAGCAAGGCATATTTAACTGCTTATTTTCGCCTGATGCGGCCGGTGCAGTATTGGCAATCAGTAATGCAATGTCTATAGATAGTGAATAGTTCGATGACATTAATGAGACAGGAAATGGCATCGCTGACTATTGTGAGCAATAAGCGAAGGGTAAGATTATCGTACTGAATCACAAATTAATACCATGAAACGAATGGGAATGTATAACTTGCTTTTGTATATTATTAATACGCATAGATTATTATAGTGAGAGGTAGCCAGACTATTTTCGTGCACTTCTAAGAGAATATCCCTCTTAAAAGTTACTGCTATTTGTAGTATGGATCTTATAATCATTAACTCTAAGTAATTTAAGTATAATATTATTTTTTATGATTTATGCCCTTTTGATAAGAATTCTATTAACATTCAGAAATCAAATTCAGAGGTCAAGTTTAAACGAATCGTACAAGATATAAAATTTATGTATTGTATACGTTCGCAACACTAACATTAGTTTTGATTGCTAACTACGCCATGCTTCAATTATGATAGGTCTTGGGCCATATGATTATATACGTATATCTATATACAGTCACGAGAAATACTCCTCGAAAATTTACTTTAAATCATTACACTTATTTTTATCTCAATATGAACATTCCTTATGGTAAATAGTAGTAAACATGCAAAACCGGTTTTTATTTCTTGTGTGGGTGTTGTCTCTTGTGGTCGATGTCAAATAAAGAACAATACCCATTAGTTTACGCGTTGTCAGTTATATCATATAGACTCTAACGAAGATCAACAACTGTATACAACTTGCAGACAATTGTAATTCCGCATCAGATAGGCCAAATAAATATGAAACGAGTATCGTAGTAGTGTTTTCTGAGGTAATAATCTTTGGGTGATCTATGTATGCATATACAAATACTCGTATGTATAACGTTACGGCCAATATCGGTAATGCGACGTAAGACTAAAGTTGTATAGTCGATTGATACTTTCCGGATGCATGAAATCCTGTTGCTTCAAAGCTACAAAAGCATTGTCTACGTAGCAAATTGCAACCTACCGTTTTGAGTTAAAAATATGTCGTAGATCTTCGATGAACTGCTAACAGTGCAGAAGTTTACTGAATTGATTGACTATTTGAATGTGAAATGTAAACTATAGTACAACATGGGGTACTAGCCATACTACTCTACAATAACATTACACGTACAGTAAAAAAGTATCACCATCTGGTCTGCATACAGTATTTGCACGTCTGCATGGCCTAATCATCTAATAACTGTCACAACTATACTGAGAATGGTCTCCATTTAGTGTAATGACTGTATTTACAGTATGCAATTAAATATAATATATGTACTCAATCCATAGACTGCATACAATTTTAACAATTCCTGATTGGATATGAGAGCAGAATTTAATGTTCGCCCGGAACTAAAACAACATTCCACAGTCAGGTCACAGTTTGTACAAACTGTGACCTGACTGTGGAATGTTGTTGATTGAACTTTGCAAGATTTAACGCATCAGTTCAAGATGCAAGAGCATGATTTAAAAAAGAAAACATTTACTTATTTAATTCATTTACGTCTGTTCGAGGTCTGGTCTTCGACAATGCAATTTCTCGTGTCAACAATACATTTTAGGGTTGATGCTTGCAATGCAAATGTTTAATAGCTTTCAAATGGCTTGTGACTACTTGATTTTATTCTAACTAGTGGAATAGCATGGTTGTTAATTATTATAATATAAGGTGTATTATTATAGTAAGCTGTCATTAACCCTTGTGCAAATTATTCCGGCTCTGTACGAGAAAAAATACGCCCAGATCTCTGAGTATGAAATTAAATAGTGCCATGGGCCACTAGATGTTCTATCACTCTACTGTACACAGCGTGATAGTCATGATGTAGTTGCCAATGACCAGTAGTAATGCAATAGTCAAACTACAATTGTTAATAATCTGTAGCGGTATAAGGGTGCAGTATACAGTAATGTGATTGTTTACTTTATTTTAGTAGTCAGTAGCATGCTTTACAATAGTTCTTTTTCATTTCGGTATCTCTAAAGTTCGGTTCACAGATGCAAATGCGAGACTTCTGACTTCTGTGCACTGAGTCTTACTGATATATCGCAGTTTCTATATTATAGAACACTACAAGATCGCATGAACGGATAGTAAAGTACTCTGTAGTAGACCGAGTGCACTGCATTTTAATTAAACATTTATCAACTGTGTATATTGTAGATTAGATTGTTACTTGTCTAATCAATGATAATTAATTATACGTATATTTAATATGCGTGTGTTACAAGTCCGCCTGTTACGTAAAATCCTACAAAAGATTGCTTGATGAAGGTACTATTTACCATCGGCTGTTATAGAGTTTTGTCCTTAAACTAATACATTCCCTTAGGTTTTAGGATTAAAGTTAACTTATGATGTAGTATTCTACTAGAACACGATTACATATACTAGTACGCGTTTTGTTTGTAAATGATAAATTTATAGTTCTAGACAATTAATGTAATTTTAGGAAGATGAAAGCAAATTATTACAAAGGCCCCTATCACATTGTATCGAGTCACTACAAATATCTCAAACAAGTGCTCGATTAAACCTAGTCCCCTCAAGTTAATAACATAATTTGTATCGTCATTTTATGATACGCTGAGTTAAAGATTTACTATAGGAATAATGAGTGATCTAGTCAAACTGGGATCTTATCTTCCTGAAATAGTTGTAAACATGAATTTGCCTATCCGAGCACGTCAACTTCAAAATTCTTTAAAGCATTTACAATGATAAAAATAATAACCAATACGAACACTTACCCTAAATACGAAACAATGTAGCAAAATCCGATTAATTATATTATATTAGGACCACTTTCCGTATACTAGTCAAGACTTGAGGCTATGTTTATAATATTGTTATTTCTTTAAAACTGCGCATTTTAATTTGGGGATTGCTGTATTAATAAATATAATTATAATTATTATCTACAGGTATCTAAGGAACTTCAAATTTAATTTTAATAGTGTGTGCAATTTAATTAATGAACCAATATTATTTATAGCACTATTGCTTCTAGCCGTCGTACGTTATCTGCTGTACTAATCGATGTTACTATTTTCGTACACTGAAGTTAATACTAACTAATTTGAAGAGTAAAAGTAAGCAAGTATCGCTGACTTTTCACCTCTGTAAAAGGGAGTAATACTGCTCTCTTGCATGTTGTACTGTATTATTGTAAATTGCTGTACTTTAGATGGTACACTTTAGTAACTGTACAGTGTACAGCCATTGGTAATATTCAAGCAAAACTTGCTTACTTTTCAACTCCGTCAAAGAGCGAAACTTTGTTGTACAGTACGTTATGACGCAACGTAATGAAGTCTACAGTATAATCTGACTGCCAGTAAAATCCTTTTTTAGAGCTAAATATTAAGCCAAATGGTCCTTTAGTTCAATTAATGAATGGATTTATTGAATTAAAATGAATTCAATTGATTTTTCTCAACGACAATGTAAGAAATACTATCTAAAAAGCTCCAACCCTAATAATAATCAACGTTGATTAATTAATTTAAAGAGTCTGTATGGATTAGAAATATTCAAGATGATTTCGTTGCAGGGCGGAGATTGCGCAATGCTGAGCGATCGCTGATTGGCCAAAGAGAAATTTGAATTTGATTATTGTAACAGTACTTTACGGTAAGCTGTACAGTACTGTACAGTACGATACAACTAGTAATGTACTGTAGTGTACAGTACACTATACTGTAGATGTTAACATGGAGGCGTTTACCCGGCGCGATACGATACGGTACGGTACGATACAGTACAGTTAGTGTAGAGTGTACAGTACGATGATGCACTGTAGAGACCGACAATAAACCAGACACTGTGCATTACTGTACAGTACACAGTACTGTAACAGCCATTGTCATGGCGCTGGAGTCGGCAGTGCACACTTTCCTATACAACTTCATATCAATTTCAGTTGATGGTTTGCTACACTACAGTACTGTACAGTATAAAAAAGTACAGCGGTAATTTCAAATTTCAATTTCAAAATCGTCATTCAATGTGTCGCTAACATCTCGGCCAGCTTAACTTTCTTTCACTTTGAAATAGGAAAAAATAACTTGTTGGGTAAGATGGAGTATTTTGACTAAAATAATTCAATTTTTTATTGTCAGTGTCTCCATTTGGCTATTTATTACAAGTGTATGTGTTCAGTGGTTAAAAATGAGCGTTAATAATCGAGTAGCCGATAGATGACGAGAACTCGAACCTAGGTGATAATTTTTCAAAGGTTGATATCAAATCTGCTGAACTGTATTGATATTTTAGTATTGCAGAGAGTGTTTTCAAGTAGAGGTGTGGTAATTTTAAGCCTTATCTGATGTTCAGAGATATCTACTAGATACAGAGTGGAACACCTATGTAGTATTTCTCATAGCATTGCCGTAGTTTAGAGGATGCCAAACATAAATAGTTGGTATCAGAAAAAAATAATAACCAGTGAAAATTGCACTGACCAGTGTTACCGATAGCAGACTGACTGTAGAACGTTAACTCCCACCCAACCGAACTAGCGAGCGTAGTTACATTACACGGAAATCAAATGTTTTATCTCGGATTTCTCGACAAGTTCAGTGGATTTACTTATAGTACTGAGTAATAAGACATCCACGGCTAGTAATAGGTCGACTGTGACTGATCTGCAACGTAAGCAGTCAATGCCAAGCCCTTTCAGCGATTTTTACCCGACCAAACTACTGTAGTTTGCTGACATCAAACATTTCATCTCAGATTGCTCTTCGATTCATTTCATTTGTTTCAAATTCCTGGCGATTAGATACAGTAACGTTATAGTAGGGCATAAAATCATAACATAGAAGCTATATCTCAACTTTTCAAACGTCTCATTTTTGGTCAATTTTAGAGTGCCTTTAAATTCTTGTCGTTAAACATCGAAATTGGCTAATCAATATGTTACCAAATAACACACCTATGCCGCGTGAAGTTTGCGATTACTATCAAGTCAGGGAAACCATCGGATCGGGTAAATGTTTCTCCACAATATTTTTGTAATAGATTAATAATCAATGAATTAATGAAACTTGTTTTAAACGATGATATTACCTTTTGATCATTTACAATCAAGTGGATTATCGAAAACGTTTCCATTTTATGTTGTTAAAGTGTCCTCTTACACTGATTTGATACTGTTGATAATTTCATCTACTGTCCGTCTCTTGCAATAATTGCCAATGCACTACCATATATTAAGGTTAACCTTAAATTACTGTATTTCATAATGACTATGGTGTATCTTGTTCTTATCGGTTCTTTCCATTACTCGTGGATTATTCTCACTCCGCTAATGCCTAGTTAATGAAACATGTGTATGTTTTGTCTTGTCATAACTGCTTGCAATCGTAGGTTAGTATCGGCCGTTTCAAATTTTGCTTTAGCTGAAATGAAATATGCATGAGAATGAAATACACGGCGTACTAATATGCAAGAAAGAGTCCATGCATAGTAGTACAGTACTTCAAAAAAACTATTTACCGTTGAGAAAAGTGACTGATATTTCTCACTTATGATGTTGGCTTGTCACGAGATATTACTGCGGTATCAATGATGTCTTGGCAGACATTATCAGCACTTTAAACCTTCGCCAATTATGAAAACACAATATCTTACCTTGATCATACTATACTATAGACTGTATTATACACCTTATATGTACTTCTGATGACGACTGTAACGTTCTGTTAGCAGTTCGATTCATGACTGCTATATCAGATCTAGTAATGAAGAATATTGTTACTATACTGTAGAACTACCGCTAACCTGTATCGAAATTAATCTTTTTTACATCATCATCTAATATAAAATGAAATAGAATAAAAAGCAAACTGTAATATTAAAAAATAAGTCATATTTTCCTCATATCGACTATAAAGGTGGCTTTGCACAGGTCAAGATCGCTAAACATCGCTTATCTGGTGAAACTGTTGCAATCAAAGTAATGAATAAAGTTGCTCTAGGGGTAAGGCAAAGACTTTCGTCGAACTTATTACGATAGATTACAGTTTCTAACTTCGCCCAGCCAACTATCAGATTGCTTTATAATTCATTTAAACGCTATTCGTAATAATGTATAAGTAGGTGATATACTTATTGTATACACTGCAGTTATAGACATGGACGCCGTAAATGTCTATATATTACTAGCGTCGTTATTAAACGTAATTATTTTTACAATTTTTCGATTGCTGCTTATGATGAACCGAGAGCGTTAAATAGAGGTCATTTCTTAATTTGTTTTCTAATTAATTACAGGAGGATTTGCCAAGAGTTCAACGAGAAATAAATGCTTTACGTTCATTAAGACATCAACATATAAGTCAAATGTATCAAGTGATTGATACACCTGATGACATTTATATCGTTATGGAGGTATGAATAAATTTGCTAATGGTATTTGTTTTCTTGGCCATTACCCTATAGCTTAAGCTGAAAATTAACTTAAATATTTTTTATCTCTAGTATGTACCAGGTGGTGAAGTATTCGATTACATCGTAACGAAAGACAGACTTCTGGTAATAATGCCACTTTCGGCAATGTTGTTAATATTATAATGGTACTATAATTGAATTAAAATTTTAATCAATTATTGGAATTTTCCTATATTCATAGATAAGATTACATCATTGTGATAATACTAATAGATTATATTGGCTTTGTAATTGCTAGCAATTTGTTTTACTGTTTCGTAATACTTTTTTATTTATAGGAAGATGAAGCTAGAAAATTTTTTCGTCAAGTCATTTCTGCTATCGCATATGTCCACAACGAAGGCTTTGCACATCGCGATTTAAAACCGGTAAATCGTTGCGTAATCTAATCAGATAAGCAGAATAATAAACCATATGCTCTACTGCATATCTATAAACAGTCAATGTTGCCTGATAATAGTTATTATCAAGAATTGCTAGCTTTTGACATCACATTTGTTAATTTTTGCATATCTATAATAGGAAAACTTATTATTGGATCGCTACCAGGTAATTCATATAAATAATCATATCAAGATGCACTTCAGCTGATTATTACAATCGTACGAAAGATAGTCATTTTGCTTTTGTTTCGTTCGGATATCAATTTGTATTTTAGAATATTAAGCTGATTGATTTCGGGTTGGTAGCCAAGCCTCAGGTTAGATCTTTTTGCGTTAAAGAAGAGTATTTCTAGTTACCTATTATGATCTTTCGTAAAATCGAAGTATTTTATAATTAATTGTTATATTATTCCGCGTTATTTTAGAGCTTGCAAGATAATCTATATACATGCTGTGGATCTCCTGCATATGCTGCCCCTGGTAAGCTAGCTATAGTATTATTGCGCTATTTTCTTACATTTTTTGCTGCAGTCATTTAAAGACAATTCTATTTACAACATTACAAAGAATTAATCGCAGGCAAACCCTATTTGGGATCCAAAGTAAGTTTTGAACCTGATAATAGTTTTTAAGAATCTGTGCGAGGCTACTATCTAATGTTGTTAGTTGAGATAATTACTAAGACTATTGCAGCATCAATTGTCATTGTATTTACGCTATCATATTCTGGGTAATTGGATAGGCTGATATATGGAGCATGGGTATTTTGTTGTATGCTCTATTATGTGGTTACTTGCCATTCGACGACGACAATACAGTGAAGTTATACAAGCAAATTTTGGTAATGAAACAGTTCTAACACTTTTAAACATCACATTTGATGGATGAATGCATTGTATTTATTTAAAAATTGCAAGAATCATGTAGTATAACATACTTATAACTATTAATGCTTTGTAGAAAGGCGAATATGAAACACCTCGGTGGCTTTCGCATGGTATGTTTTATCTTGCAATCGTGAGATCTTATAATTAATAGTCGAAATCATTGCTTGAAGCCAAAGAATGACTGCTATCAATAATGTAATATTTCCTTGTCGTTCCTGTTATGTCATATGGGTACCATGTAGGAAGCATCAAGATTTTAGATAGCATGTTGCAGGTAAGGTAGATATAACGAATGCTAGTGGCTTTTGTGTTATTGAATTAAATGTGGTATAATTGTTAATTAATAAATTCGGTGATAAATTATCAAATAGACCGACCCTAATCAACGTATTACAGTAAAGCATTTGCTGAGTCATCCTTGGGTTATGACGAACTATGGTGTCCCAGTCGAATGGAGATCTAAATATAAGGTTGATATAGGCGCACTATGATGTGTGATTCTTGGCTTTTACATATTTTGCTAATCATGTTATTTCTTCAGCCTGGATCAATCGATAGTGAGGTAATTGATGTTATGTCTCAATATTATGGCATTGGAACTACGGAAATGAGTAATGAAATAGCCGAGGTAGTTTTTTAGTCTTTTAAAATTATTAAGAATTGTTAGTAAAATTATTGTAAGATACCGCGTAATCTTACCGAGCTTACCTAACCAATATATTTATTAATACCTACCCGCATTTATTTCCAGTGGAAGTTTGATCACGTTTGCGCAACCTACTACATACTATGTAACATGAAGTACCAAGGCAAGAGACCGAGGCTTTTACAACCTTTCGTTAGGTATGTTGGCGTTAAAAGACACGTATACTGCAACGTCTTGCTGAATTCATAAAGTTGCTACGGATTGGTTAAATAATTTTTTTAATGTAAATGTTCATTTCGCTTTATGTATAGTAATATGTTCTACGTTTTGTTAAATTTATTACCTCAAAAATGAAAATATAATTTCAGTCCTCGACCAGTGATCCCTGATTTTATTAAAGTAAGTCATTTATTATTTATTAATGATATACAGTAATATATGATATCTCTCTACAGTCTAACTGTGTACTTACAATCATATATATTCTATATCTTGATTAGTTATATGTATATATATGTTTAAGTAATGTTGATCTTTACAACATTGCATCTAAATTTTTTGGGATGGATAATTATGTACAAGCTTTAGTCTTAACGCACGAATAATATGTAACTGTACCATAAATGTATTCTAGATGTTATGATCGCTTTATTTCGATTGCTGTATATCTTAAGCATGTACCGTCAATCTTGTAATGTATGGTTCTTCTTTATTTACATATCATACCTAGCCTTTACCGCCTTTCGATCTTTCTGAATTTGCGAAGTGTACTCCTAAACGCAATAACAATCATGACGATAGGGGTGTCCTGAAGGAAAAGAATACTGCAAATAAGGAGAATATTCCAACTCGTGCAAACAAGGAGAATATTCAAACTCGTCCAGCTCCAAGAACCCCTAAAAGGATTGCTGATGCGTGGGACGAATTGGTTATTAATCAGACCCCTGAAAGGCCCAGAGCTTGGACTGAAGACAATTGTAACTCTCCAAGTACGCTGTGTGGCAACGCCTATTTTTTGCATGCAGATAAATCGTTCGGGCAGAAAATATTTAAAATTTTGTTTTTTATCAACTCTAGTACCGCACTCGCAATCAGTTGAAGTTGCTGAAGGTATTGGTAATAGTGTCGCTCCTCTTACACCTTTATCAGAAAGTAAAAGGTAAGAACATAAATACGTCGTATGTACTGCTATACAAAGTAACACACAGTTACATCTTATCGCACTTGATTCAGTAGTTGGGGGTGAATGGTATCAGTTGTGGATTCAATTTACTAGCATAGCATGAGGTGACATAATTAAATCTTACTTAATGACATATATTAAGATGGCAATCCTGCGACGCGGACTTATACAAATCTACACAAGAAAAATACCGAACCCCTAGCAAAACTCCTAAGAGACACGTAACCAATTTTGAAATTATATCAAAAGATATCTATATAAGAATCTGAAATTAGAATGGCTTCAAATTATTACTCTTATCTATTAACAGATTTTTGCAGCTTTTGGAGATAACGTTGGTGATATTGCAACTCGCTTCAAGCAAGCATTTACACCTCATAAAACCCCGCAAATGACAAAACCCCGAAAAGTCAAGGTTGGTAGAATTATCTATTTGAATATGTATCATTACATGAGGTTAACTTTAGCACCTGATATGTATGAAAGGATAAATTTATCAAATATTAATAAATAAAAAGTCATAATGGATGTTGCCCTATATCTGTATATGGACGTAGGAACTATATAACGTTTCGGCAACCTCCGGTGAAAATGCAGATTATGTCGTTGATGAGTTAAAGAATCGTTTGGTAGAACGGGGTATTTCATATAAAGCGAAGACGTAAGAATTAATTATATTTTTGGTATCACTATTACAATAGAATTTATTGATTACATCGTCTTATTACTTGAACAATGCTTCCGTTGGATTATTGTTGATGTAGTGATTACGTCTTGAGATGCAAGATCTTGGATTCTCGATTGAAGGCGTTATTATCGTTTGAACTCGAAGTTTGTGAATTGCCTTCACTTAATATCTATGGTAAGCTATAAAAGTTAGCCCGTTTGATTGTGTTAAGCTCAAGATTTCCTTGTTGTTTAAGTGGCTTCGTGGTAATTGGTTGCCGATATAAGCCATAATTCTGAAAATTCAATAGCATCTTGTGGTGACTTATTGATTCACTATTTAAATGTAGGTATCAGACATAAGAGGTTGAAAGGAGATAGTTGGGCATACAAGAAAGTTTGTGAGGATATTTTAACTGCTGCCAAGTTGTAGGAAGTAATTGAGTACTACCAACTTATCATGAAATAATTGTTAGAAACATTAGAGGCGATTGTAATTGCATACGAACGAGTGATTTGTATTTCAGATTGCATTTATTGCCTCAGATATTAAACGATAAATCTTATAATTTTAAACATATACAAAGATTAGTCTGTGGGGTTATTAAAAGTATATGTATGTTAATTTAACATAGCAACACTTCTAACATGAGCTTTATGCCCTAGAATTGTATAACTTTTTAAGTTTGTTTGTAATTTGTAATTTAATTATACGATTTATACTGCAAAGCACATAGATGACATACATATACATTAAATGTATTCTTTGTAATGTATCTACATTTAGTTGATTGCACTTCAATTGAAATTTTATCTGGCTATGCTATCGCTTTTATTTAAATAAATCACAGAATATGAAGTGTGTCATTTAGGATGGATATAATGATTTACTACCGGCACTGACTGCAATCAATTGTCTAACTATTTGCTATAAATACCAGGTTAATTATTATGTTTGCTGCATTATCTGGCAGTATCGTGCTTATGATGTTATTATTTTCTGTGTAACAAATTGACTACTACTGCAACCATGAAGGTGTTCCCAAAGGGGGTGTATTTTTAATTTTGTGGAAACGCTGTTGCAGTGTATTTAAAAATGCATTTACTGTTGTTGATGCAAAATATTGTATGGCTTATATAATCAAATTTATAACAGTCACAGGGAAAATTGGATTCCAGATTATTAAAGCAAATGCGAAAAATTAAGTTTTATGCGTGATTATTTCATGTAATTAACACTTTAGAAACAAAGCAAATTTAAGTGTTTGCTGAAAGCTATCGTATCGTACTTTTTCCATGCTCTACGGCGATTAAGGATACCAAATGTAAACTTGTAACTACAATTAACTCAAAAGGCGCATAAACAACATGCTTTTATCAATCAAACTTGCCTAAATTCAGTAGTTCATGGAAAGTATAATACTATACTACGGTATAGAAATTACTGTAAAGAAGTCAAACCTGAAGTTAAAACGATTAAGCATAGCAAATTAAATAGTTTTATTACTCGACATCTTTGAAGATAAATATTAATTAACAAAAGTGTTGTAGATATGATCGTCTCCGTTATTGACTCAGGATTAAGAGTACGTATCATATAACTTATGAAGAGCTCTGTCTCCATGTCGTTCTTAGAAGTCAACTTAAATACTTTTACAAAGCAGTCGCAAAATTGATTAAACCTGAAAGGAACGCAGACCGTTCTTGGAAGTAGAACTGATTTATGTCAGGAAATGAGGTGATAAGAAATTGAAGTTTTGCTATTTTATTTTTAAGATACTACAGCAAATAACAAATAGATCTGATGTCTACTTACAAAATTAATGTTTAAGTCGGGTCTGTAGTCTATTACAAGTTCTGGTATATTTCTCTCTCAAGCAAGTTGACACGTGGCCGAACATCAAGATATTTCACGATATACTATTCGATTAAAGACTAACTGCTACTTCATAAATGAATACGCATATCTCTTAGTCTTGATAGAAAGATACAGATTTCATAGCCACGCAAATGCAGTCTATGTTTTAAAATGTGTCTGTCTGGCTTACACTTATTACATGAATTTTAATTTTCGTGCGGGTTGCAGACAACAAAAACCATTTTATAATTCGGCGTCTCATCTTATTAGCGATGAAAAACATAGAAAATTGAGAACAATATAGATCGATGAAGCTCAAGCAGAGGGTGGAAATAGCAAGCTAAATCATAATATAGATCCGTTAGGATTAGCCCCGGAAATCTGTTATAAATGCATATTCGACTGATTATATAGTTATCAAGTGTCTGGTTTACCGATATGTGTTTCTTCTAGTGTATCTTTTGGCAATTTGTAGGCTATTTTGCTAATAAATATAATCATCCCTTTGGTTGGATAGCTAATACCGACATTTACTTAGATTTTCTACTCATATTTGTTATTTAAAAACTGGAAAAGTATTTTTAGAATCTTTAGATAGAAATTCTTAATTTATTTCTAAAATTAGATTGTGTTCAAGATCAATAGGACTTAAATGTAGACAATATCCATCCTATATAGTAAGCCATGGTAAAATGATCGGAACTAGAATAGGAGTTTAAAGTTTTCGCAACCTTAATCTTCCGAAATAGCTATTACAATATTGATTATATTCGTTTTCTAAATTTGCTAATGAAATTTCATCATAATTTTGACGCTTATAAGTTGATTCTTTGCTAATAACTCAACATTATTTAACTATCGCTAATGCCATATTCACCTAGGCTGTATTGTCTATTTTCTTAAATTAAATACTAGTACTTTGTCCTGCAACTTATTAATAGATCTTGAACAGTGTATTCTTGTTTTTTCGACACTCCGTAGAAGATTTAATGCACTATAAGTTGCTTTCAATGTGTAAATAGAACAACAAACTCATCAACTTTTAAGGAAAAGATACCGCAGTAAAGCACTTACTTAATTTCGTCATATGAGTGCTAAATTATTTGTGCCGTACGGTACTCTATTTTGATAACCAGTGGGTATGAATCTGCCATTTTGGATGGAGATATCATAAAAAGCGAAGATATTGCAAGATCTTGGGCTGAGTTTCCTTACGTAAATGAAAATAAGCGAGATGAGTGTATTTGATAATCTTCCTAGAATTTTAATAATTTGCTTCATACGCGTACAGTTAGTAAATCGATTAATTCGAATGTTAAAGTAAACAAATTCCATGACCAATTGAATTCAAGCATATTAGTAGAAAACTAGAAAATGAATCATTAAAATGAATATTTAGCCTCACATTGGAAGCTAATTTCACTATCTTTTCTTAATAATTATTTAAGTTAAGAAAATTCGATCTATTACATTACAACTTTCAATTTTCAGAATACAGATCGGTATTGCTATCCATAAATGAAGACTTTTGATTACCAAGGATCAAGTAGTACGTAGATGGCAAGTTTCGTTGCAAGAAAATTATATCTATTTTACATATTGTAACTTTCAATATTCACAGTATTGATTCGCATTATTATCAATAAATTAATACTTTTGGGCAGGCTTAGGCACTTTTGGCTGGTCAATTAAGTTCAAGTATGTCAGTAAAAAACTAGAAATTGAATATTTAGCCTGGCACAGGCAGCTAATTTCATTTTCTTTTCTTAATATTCATTTCAGTCAAGAAATTAGACCTATTCTTGGATATTGGAACTTTCAATGTTCATAATGGAAATCCGTAATGCTATCCATAATTTAGACTCTTAGATAGGTTTAGGCGTTAAGTTCAAGCATGTCAGTAGAAATACAAAACGAATGAACATTTAGAGTCGAACTGGCAGCTAATTTAATCATCTCTTCTTGATATTCATTTAACTTAAGAAAATTAGGTCTATTTTTGTATATTATAACTTTCAATATTAATAATACAGTTCCGTATTACTTTTCATAAATGAACACTTTCGATTACGTAGGGTAAAAAAGTATGCAGATGACAAGTTTTGTTGTAAGAAAATTACATCTATTCTTGCATACTATAATTTTCCCTATTCATAATACAGATCCATATTACTATACATAAATGAATATTTTTGATTACCTAGGGTAAAATGGTATGCACATGGCAAGTTTTGTTGCAAAGGCGAATATCTGGCACATTAACCCTTTCTTACACTCTTACCCTTTGAAAGAGACTAGTCCTACAACCCGTCGCGTTGCTGATGGACTATGGCTCATAACGCTGTCCATATTACTTATGCAAATACGTATATTGTTGACATCAAACAATTATCCGAAGCAGGTATTTAAATTTTTTACAGTAAAAAATTTCCGACCGCATGTTTTTTCAACGTTTAACTTAGCTTTTATTCAATTGGTCGAGGTTTATAATCAAGCACGCCAGTATGAATAATTATCAATGCTTATGAAGTGTAAAAATGAAGTATTCAAATTGCATTCTCATCAGGAAAAATCAACAATAAAATTTAAACCTCTTCTAACTTCAAAGAGTATCATTAGTCATTTCTAGAGGGTGGAAAAATTGTAATCCTCTATTTGATTCCGTTATTTTGTTCTTTAATTTACCGTTTCAACAATCAATGAATCCGATTGGATAATGGTAACTTCTAATGGTAGACGGATTAATATGGTACGACTACATGACTTAATTAAGATATCTATCTGCAATTCTCAGCATGTATTAAAGTTACCGGATCTCTATTTCACGCTTGAATGGAGGACGGAAGCTCGTAAGGATATAAAATATATCTGTTATTGTATCTCTATCTAGAGAAATATCTTACAACTTTCTTGACTTTCAAGTAGATAAGTAAGGATTCTTGATTAATTTTATTGAATTCTTATCGTCTATAGTATATTGATTAGTACTTAGTTCGTGTTCCGAATTCTTCTTTGCCATATAGGCGACGATTCCGTTCGATTTGAAACAAAAAAGTCATAGTGGGCATTCAAACCAATTCGAGTCAGGAAGCAGGTGTTGATTAATTTCACATTGATAACAATATCTAAAGAGTCTGAAGTAAATTAAAACTATCGTCTAAAATGGGTACCTCTGGCTATCATACAACGTCATCAGGTATTTTATTCCATTTTTTCTATCTGCTTGTCCATGTCATGTTGTAAAGTAAAATAACTGATTGCATTACATTGACTGTTATACATCTATCATAACGTGGCGATAGAATATTTTAGAATTATTTCTTTTATTTTATAGACATGGGAGGGGAAAGAATTGGCAATATTTTATTTTATATCATGCGTGACATTGTCTATTACCGTCTCGTCTATTGATGTCGACCAAGAAAATGATGCTTGCATATTTTTTTATTAATTTGATCGATAAAGTATCTTTACTGAAGCGATTCTCTCCGCCGTTAACACATGATTAACTACGTTACCAGGCTGCAAGATAAAAAAAGCTCAAGATTGGATAAAGTAGAATAGTCAGTATTGGA